ACTGTCAACCTCAAAAATTACCTTTTAAATCTCCCCATTTAGGTACCTATATTAGGTAGGTGTGACTGCCTAAGTTTAGAAGAATGCACTTTAGGGGCGCCTGGGTGGCTTAATCGGTTAAGCGTCCAACTTCAGCTCAGGTCATGATCTCTCAGTTCGAGGGTTCGAGCTCTGCGTCGGGCTCTGTGCTGATAGCTAGGAGTCTGGAGCCTGCTTCAGATTCTGTGTCTCCTTCTCTTTTTGCCCCTTCCCTGCTCATGCTCTCTCTCTCAAAAATAAATAAACATTAAAAAAAATTAAAAAAAAAAAAGAACGCACTTTAGATATAATACCCATTCAAGTATCTAGGACAAGAATCTGTCTTGACTTTTTAGATACTCTCTTGCACAAATTGTAAAAGACTGTTTAAAGAACTAATCTATACAATTTTTAAATAGACAAATTACATTTAATAGATTACTGCCATCTTTAAAAAAACATTTTATACATGATGTAAATTACAGGAGTGATGCAAGCTTGTTATAATCCATCATGTGTATGTATAAAGTCAACAGTGAACACTGACTCCTAATCACATGATAGTTCATTTGTTTTATTAAAAAATGAGTTTATACTACACTGTTCCGCTCTTTAAAAAGATATAATAATATCTATAAAGTGGACTTTTCCACGTTGCACATGTAGTAGTTCATTCATTTTAATAATCAAATGTTTACCACTGTATTAATGAAGCAAATTTTATCTAACCTTCCTTTTTGTTAATGTTTATTTATTTATTTTGAGAGTGTGAGAGAGAGAGCATGAGTAGTAGAGGGGCAGAGAGAGAATCCCAGACTCTACACTCTCAGCTCAAACCCATGAACCATGAGATCATGACCTGAGCCAAAATCAAGAGCTGGACGCTTAACCAACTGAGCCACCCAGGTGCCCTGTAACTTTCCTTCTTTTTTTTTTTTAATTTTTAAAATGTTTATTATTTAATTTTTGAGAGAGAGAGAGAGAGGGAAAGGGAGAGAGAGAAAGACAGTGTAAGCAGGGGAGGGGCAGAGAGAGAGGGAGACACAAAATCTGAAGCAGGCTCTAGGCTCTGAGCTGTTAGCATAGAGCCTGATGAGGGTCTTGAACTCACAAACCACAAGATCAAGACCTGAGCCGAAGTTGGATGCTTAACCGACTGAGCCACCCAGGAGCCCCTAACCTTCCTTCTTCTGATGGACATTAAACTATTTATAACTGTTTACTCTAACAAACAATGCTATAACAAATATCTTTGCATATTTTTGCTAATTTAAGTTACTATTTCTGTAGGATAGATCCTTAATAGTGTGACTGCTAGGTCAGAAGATACAGACATTTAGAATTTAGGTAGCTATTACCAAACCTGCCTTCCAAAAGGGCTGTACCAACAAACTATTTTCCCCCACATTTTCACTAAACATTAGGTTTTCTAAATTTTTTGCTAATCTGAGAAGTGAAAAGTAAATGGAAGCATTTAAATTTCAGGTTTAGTAGCTTCCCCAAAAGACACAGTCTAGGAATTTAGTTAACCTTATTAAGCTTGATGTTTAAAACGTATATACTATAAGGAACTATAAACTTCTAGCCAAAATTCAAATCTCTTAAGGCTTAAGAAATTTCTTTTTTTTTAAATAATAAAAAATTAAATTTTGTATTATTTTAATACTGCCTAATTTTCACCTCCAATGTCCATCATAATACAGCAATCTTCTCTGCATCCTTGGAAAAAAGCTGCCCAGATTCACTTTCAGGGATTCTTTGGAATACATACAGCTTCTGCATTTACCTGATTTGCAGGGTAAGTTGGCATGAAGCCACTGGAAGCCTGGGCTGCAGCTCCCCCAACTGGTCCAACAAGGTTAATGCCCATGACCGGCTGTCCAAGGTTGAGGGGTATGGAGCCGGCAGGGCCTGAAGACATCCCGGTTGGCTGACTCACTGCAGTAGGCAAAGTCATAGGAAATCCACTTAAAGTTGGAACAGGAGCAGCTGGAAATTGGTTTAAAGCATCAGGACTCATGGCAGGAACACCTCTCTACACAGAACAGAAGGAAAATGGAAACATTTTAGGGGACTGCAAACCACATACAGTCTAAATCCAGCAAAGAGAGACCTAAGTGTAAAATCTGTAATCCTGGTATGTTTCCACTTTGACTCCCAAAACTCATGAATTTGATATAAGAAAAGAACTTACAAGGTTAACATAGACCTAGTATCAGGCAAAGAAATGGATGACATATAACAATTGTGGCAATGCACTCTCTGACATGTTTGGTTAATTCATTATAATCAAATCATTTAAAGTGATTCTGGGGGCGCCTGGGTGGCGCAGTCGGTTAAGCATCCGGCTTCAGCCAGGTCACGATCTCGCGGACCGTGAGTTCGAGCCCCGCGTCAGGCTCTGGGCTGATGGCTCGGAGCCTGGAGCCTGTTTCCGATTCTGTGTCTCCCTCTCTCTCTGCCCCTCCCCCGTTCATGCTCTGTCTCTCTCTGTCCCCAAAATAAATAAAACACGTTGAAAAAAAAATTTAAAAAAAAAATAAAGTGATTCTGTATTATGACAAAAATTGCTAGCAGATCAAGAACACTTTAAGGAATTTTAAACAAGGACTTCAAAAACATAAAGAGTCATTTCATCTATTACTAACTTTCAAGTTCATAAAGGATACAGTTAGGTCAGAGAATGTTAATATATTTAATAGTCTTTAAACAAAGGAACATTTTACTAGTATGTGCATGATGCAAACTGTACATTTTTGAAGTACTGTATCCTAAAAATAATCTAAACTTTAATATACAAGGAGTTCTACATGGTTGTAGTCAAAAGGATTTATATTGAAAAATTATTTGATCTAACTTAAGAAATAGTCTCTTACCTGTGTTACCGCTATCATGGCGAGAACAGTATAAAGTTCTTCCTTAGTAAGTTTGCCAGGTGTAGTTCGATTAGCCAAGGCCCATATCTGTCCAAGAGTTTCCCTGGGCAGTCCAGATGACATCAGAATGGGATAAAGTTTAGCAGTATCTATTCCAGTTGGAGTCACTGTGATTTCTAAAATTTTCTTATAGGCATCTATCAAAGAAAAGACCAGATTACAAATGTAAACATATTATAAGTGATTGCTATTTTCTGTTGTCATTGTTGCTTATATAAGAATAATCTTGGGGTGCCTGGGTGGCTCAGTTTGTTAAGTGTCCTACTTCGAGTCAGGTCATAATCTCATAGCTTGTGGGTTCAAGCCCCAAGTTGGGCTCTGTGCTGACATCTCACAGCCTAGAGCCTGCTTTGGATTCTGTGTCTCTGTCTCTCCCTGTCCCTTCCCTGCTCACGCTCTGTCTCTCTCAAAAATAAACAAATATTAAAAAAAATTTTTTTTAAAAGAATAATCTTAGGTCAAACTGCTTTAATAGAACTGAAAATGTGTCAGGGTTTGAACTGCTATAAAGATCATTCAATTGGAAATATCCAATATAATTAGGGTCTGGAGCTTAGAAGACAGGATGGAGCGTGAGGTAAAATGAAGATTTGGGGCCAAAGGTCAGAGAAAGTAACAACACTAAAATGGAGGTGGTATAAACAGATGCTTTGGACTTTATTTTTAATGTTTATTTATTTATTCTGAGAGAGAGAGAGAAGAAAAATAGCTCAAGCAGGTGAGGGGAAGAGAGAGAGGGAGAGGGAGAAAGAATCCCAAGCAGGCACTGCGCTGCCACTGCAGAGCTCAACACAAGGCTCAGACTCACAAACCGTGAGATTGTGACCTGAGCTGAAATCAAGAGTCACACGCTCAACCGATTGAGCCACCTAGGCACCCCTAGATGCTTTAAAAGACAAGTTGTAGAATAATGATGGTGGGAATAGTTTGAAAACAGTGGTGGGGAGGCAAGAATTATACCAATACCACCTATCTCCTGCCTCAGTCAGAGTCTGTGAGAGAAAACATCACTGGGTAAGGTGCTATGGGAATAGAGCCTTCAGAGAAAGGCAGTTTCAGTAAAGGTGAGAAAGCAGAATACATGTTTGAAAAAAGGAAGGGACTGTTGGGAGTTTTTCCACAATAAAATGGGGTTTCCAAAGGACAAGTTGGGAAAGGCTATTAGACACGAGGTTGTCATATAAAATTTAGGATGCCAATACTGCATGGGACACACTTCTGTACTAATTAATAATTTACTATTTACCTGAAATTCAAATTTAAATTTTTTAATGTTTGTTTATTTTTGAGAGATAGAAACAATCAGCATGTGAGCGGGAAAGGGGCAGAGAGAGAGGGAGACACAGAACCCAAAGTAGGCTCCAGGCTCTCAGCTGTCAGCACAGAGCCCCACGCAGGGCTCGAACCCATGAATCGTGAGATCATGACCTGAGCTGAAGTCAGATGCTCAACCGACTGAGCCACCCAGGTGCCTCTACATCTAATATTTAAATATAGATTATAGGTTAGTAGGCTGGCCATAAGAATACATATTTTGGCTAGGAAACTATGTGTGCATGTATGTTCACAAGGAGGGTACACAATGAATATAAGCTGGCAGAAAATGGACACAACTCCAAAATTTACCAGATCTGGCTTTTTGTTTGTTTGGCTTGAAGACAGAGAAGAAGATGATGCAAATTATCTAATGGGCACTTGGAAGAAAACCTATTGTTTTTATGTATAGCTGAAGTCTCACAGGATTTGGGGAAATTAGCCTTTCAACTGAGTGTGTGATAATGATGTAAAGTAGATATTACTGGTTTTTTTCCAAACAGAATTTCAGGGACCCTTGCATGACTTTTATTTAATCAAGCATAGAACTTTAGTCTAATGATCAATCTAGAAAACCAAAGATCTGATGAAAGTTACCTTTAGATTTCAAGGGGTTGGCAAAATAGAGCAAAATGAACAAGACACAATACATTAAAACTGATTAACATATGCTGCTGTAATAGTCATTACTGTATTCACATCAGCCATGGCTTAGACTATTTTCTGGTATCAACTGAATACTATCACAAAATATGCACCTTCGTGATTTTATTGGCTCAACAGTAATAATCTCTATAAAGAGAAAAGTAAACATCACCTCCCAATGTTGACTGAAAAAGATGCCACTTAGTCTTTCACTTCATATATTACATGATAAATCATAAGAATAGATTTTTAAAATATATAATCACCAAGAGTTCATAAAATTACATTAAATGTATTAATACTATTATTGGTAAGTTATTAATAATCTATGAAATAAATAATATCTTTTATTTATAATAATTTTTTTTTTAAATTTTAGAGAGCGCATACATGAAAGAGAGCATGTGCATGCGTGAGCAAGAGAGAGGGGGAGAGAGAGAATCTCAAGCAGGCCCCATGCTCAGTGTGGAGCCTGACACAGGGCGTGATCCCATGACCCTAGGGATCATGACCTGAGCCAATATCAAGAGTTGGACATTCAACCAACTGAGCCATCCAGGCACCCCAATAACCATATCTTTTAAAGCATGGTAAATCTAGGGAAAGCTTTTAGAAATAAAAGTCTATGATGGTCAATAAAACATTAAAGCAAAACATTTCTCCTACATTTATATAGCCATTTCACCTATAAGGCTGTCTTAAATACTGGATCCTTTTCAATTTTCTGTACTCTTTCAGAAAAGAATAAACAAGAAAAAAGTAAAAATTTCTTCTGCATATTTTGTAATCACAACAGTAAATATTCACAACTACGTTTTCAACATCTGAAGCAAAATATCCAGATGGGAATCCTAGACAAAGTAGCTTTTTTACCTGGAACCAAACTCTCATTGTAAATCCAAGGCGGCATTCTGGGCTGAACAGGATCCTGCGAGGGAAATACTCCCACACCTAGAAGATAAGAAACATTATTTAATGTACATAACAGTCCATGCAGAAGATGGGGAAATCGCAGAGTCACTGTTTTTTATAAGAGCGCTGGCTGGAGATACTAAAAAAAAGTCACCAATACAATGAAAATATTTGGTTTCTAAATTTCTCTTGTACGTTAACTATGCCCTAAAGAGTAAACAAAAAAAAACCCCTAAGATGTACCAAATCAATATTCTGAATCATACAAGGCTTGCACCATTTCATGTGTATTACAAATTAAAGAAGAAAACATGACAGCTGGTGGTTTAAAAATTACCTATGTAAAAAAATGTAATTGCTCAAGCTTTACCTGCAGCTTTTAATAATATTTCTTTGTACAGTCTGACTTTTTTCCACCTGAATATGACACTGCTGCCTTGGATGTATAGGATTTTTTATTCTGTTCAGTAAAATATCCTCCAAAAGTTTGCCTCCTAGGCTGCCCAAATTCTAATTCATCTCTGCAAGCTAAGTTTATAAAAATTTGGACCTTCTAGGCAGCAGTGTGTATGATTTATTTCACAGAAGCAAAATCATATTCTCATTGGTGACTTTTCCAGTTAAATTTTAACTTTCAACCCTTATGGAAGAATAGAAAGTGTAAGAAAGGAAAAAGCTTTTATAAAATAAAAGGAAAAGAAATTTTAAATCAGGAATAATTCTGATTAAAAAAAACTGGTTATCAAACATTTTTAAAAGGAATAACTGCGGAAAGAATTCAGAGCAAAATCGTAGGGGTTAATTGGAGAAAGGAATGCATTAAAAATATTTTAAGCACAATACTGATTAGCAAAAATCAAGCAGCATTCATTTTAAGATTAATGCTTAAGGTGTTAGCATTTGAGCGATATTTGGTTAAATAAACTTTGGCTGAATATTTCATGAGCTCACCACTCTCTTCAATGGATAGGTTTTGGTCTGAAGTCTTTTCTGCCTCTGCAATGGTGGTACCACTTACACGTCCATCTATAGCACCCCCGTTTTTGGCCGTTAAACTGGGATGGTTCTTACTGGAACCTGGGCCTAGGGCTTTGTGACCAACGTCAGAGGTATTTAATTTAATTTGTTCCTGCCCAGATGAACTTATATCACAAGATACTAGGAGCTTCTCCTCCAAGGAAGGGCCTAAACAAACAGCATGAAGGGTTATTTGTATATAATTGCAAATTTCTGATTTTTTTCAATCATCCATTTCCACCCCCAGGTTCTAAAGGGTAGACCCTGCCACACATAATGTAGATTTTTGAAATAATCCAATCACTACACACTTGTATAGGACCTGAAAGGCTTTAGAGAGTTTAGAGAACTTAAAACATCATTACCTACTTTGGTTCTCAGGAATTCTGTAAGCCAGCAGGTCGAATGGTATAGTGGAAGGAGTACTACCTTAGAAATCTGGTGACTTATACCAGAGAGAGACACTTCCCCTCACGGCTGGGGAGGCCCCTGGCCAGTAACATCACCTCTGGGTCTGTTTCTACATCTGCCAACTGAGGAAGTTCGGACTAAGTCCATATCTGCTACGATCTTTCTCAGCACAATGTCTCAAGAAGCAGTGTATTAGTGCCTCCCATCCCCTTTAGTTCACAAGTGATACACCTGAGGTTCAGTTTCAAAATTTGTCCAAGGACACACTGACAATAAATGGAGAACCAGGCATCTGACCCCCAAGTGCTCTACCACCGAACCAGAGAGCACTTTCTAAAGCAACTCTTCTTGGCTCGTTACTCTGAACAAAATATTGGTGATTTTCCCAAACAAGAGAAATCTCATGTAGAAATCAGTTTGCTTTTAAAGTTCGAAAGTGATTTAAATAGCTCCTAATTTAGGAGCCAAAGTTTTAAATCATTTTTCCAGAATGTGAAGCTCCCAGAATTAAAAAATCGATATTCTTATTTTGGTGAATTTCAATAGTACTCATATATTCCGGTACACATTTCCTTACCAACATCAGTGTATTACTCTACTTATATAAGAGAAGTAAATTATCCTAGATTATTTTAAGAATACTTTCATTAACATTCTAGGAGTTACCTGCTTTCTGTACATTGTATGAGGCTGCAGCAGTAGAGAAAGAAGGAATTTGCCCAGGGACACCATGTAAGGCAAAAGACACTGGAATCTGACCTGGAGGGAGAGGCTGTGCTCCAGCCTTCTGTGTATGCAACTGGCCAAATGGGGTGGTGGGATGGAAAGACTGAAAAGGCTGGGAAGTGGAAGAAGGACCACATGTGGGAACTTCAACGGGCCCCTGCATAAAGTCACTGAATTCTTCTTCATCAAGAAAGGCAGGTGATGGGGAGACAGTTTTGGTAGAATGAGATGGTGTGGGATAATCTGCAAAACGGAAAATGGCAATGAAACACACGGAAATGAAAATCAACAAGGAAAAAGAAATTAAGATGCAGTACAATCCCAAAAGAATATACTGAAACATGAATAACAGAAGTGAACAAGAAATAACATGTAATGACAGCCAAATGGAATTATTAAGTGAATGAAAAACACTTTGATGGCTATTTACACATAATTCATTTCTTTTCAAAAAGCAGTTTTATAGCTATTTTGCATTTTGTTCAAAAACAGAAAAATGTAAAACTCAAAACTTCTTTCCTTCTTTTATTAGGTTAATACCACTTTTTTCCTCTGAGACCACTAATAATTTACATGAAAGTAGCTATTACTTTTTTTTTTTTAAGTGGTGATTACTTTTGACACCCAAGTGATCTGTTGCATAATATCCTCTCAACCAATATGTTCCATATATTAGAAAATCTACCTATATGTTGCTGAATATGTTTTGGACAAATATATACTCTGATGATTAATTATGCCAGTCAGAAACAATGCATGATACATACTTGTCATTTTTGATGTATCATGACTAATCCATACACTTTGCATATGTAGTTCACATCAGTGAAGTTACCACATGAGGAATGAAAATTACTAAAGAATATTACACACATTACCAAGGTGATATTATAAAAAGCATCAAAATCAGGATGCCATAAAGAGCTAAATCAAACAACTCAACAGTCCTTTTAAGAAAGTAAACCCTGGGGGCGCCTAGGTGGCGCAGTCGGTTGAGCGTCCGACTTCAGCCAGGTCACGATCTCGCGGTCCGTGAGTTCGAGCCCCGCGTCAGGCTCTGGGCTGATGGCTCAGAGCCTGGAGCCTGTTTCCGATTCTGTGTCTCCCTCTCTCTCTGCCCCTCCCCCGTTCATGCTCTGTCTCTCTCTGTCCCAAAAAAATAAATAAAAGTTGAAAAAAAAAAAAATTAAAAAAAAAAAAAAAAAAAAGAAAGTAAACCCTGACTGAGGACTATGTTTAAAAGATCTTTGGCTCTAATGTCTATCAACATCATTGGGGCTTTTTACTGTTAAATGTGAGATTTACTTATGTAATAAACCTTCTCTACAGGGGCATCATTTAACAATATCATTTTTGCTTCTTCATATTCTTTTTTAAAAATCCACAAAATTTAAATAAAGCAACTTTAAAAAACTAGAGTCACATAGAGGGGTGCCTGGGGTGGCTCAGTCAGGCGTCCAACTCTTGATTTCGGCTCAGGTCACGATCTCGCGGGTCATGAGATCCCCCCTCCCCCACCCCTCCCCACCTCCGTCAGGCTCTGCAGTGACAGTGCGGAGCCTGTTTGGGATTCTCTCTCTACCTCTTTCTTAAGATAAATAAATAAACATTTAAAAACTAATACATAAAAATTAGAGTTACACATAGGCAGATAAAGGCAACATCATCCCTATCTCCATCTCTGTCCTTCCATCATCCACATCCAGATTCAAACTGGACTAAGTACCTCTCAATCTGCCCTTTTTATTACTGTTGAGGTACAGCTAACACATAACATTATAGTTTCAGGTGCACAACACAGTGATTCGATATTAGTACACACTGTGAGATGATCACCACAGTCTCATTACCATTTCACCAAAGTTACAAAAAAATTTTCCCCTCATGAGAACTTTAAGCCAACTTTCAAATATGCATTACAATATTATTGACTACAGTTCCCATGCTGTACCTTACAACCCCATGACTTATTTTTTCTTTTTTTAAATTTTTTATTATTTTTTAACTTTACATCCTAATTAGTTAGCATATAGTGCAACAATGATTTCAGTAGTAGATTCCTTAGTGCCCCTTACCCATTTAGCCCATCCCCCCTCCCACACCCCCTCCTGTAACCCTGTTTGTTCTCCATATTTATGAGTCTTTTATGTTTTATCTCCCTCCTTGTTTTTATATTATTTTTGTTTCCCTTCCCTTATGTTCATGTGTTTTGTCTCTTAAAGTTCTCATATGAGTGAAGTCATATAATATTTGTCTTTCTCTAATTTCACTTAGCATAATACCCTCCAGTTCCATCCACGTAGTTGCAAATGGCAAAATTTCATTCTTTTTGATTGCCAAGTAATACTCCATTATATATACATACCACATCTTATTTACCCATGACTTATTTTATAATTGGAAGTTTGAACCTCTTGACTATCTTCACCCATTTCACCCACCTCCCCACTCCACCCTGGCAACTACCATTCTATTATATTTTTCTGTTTTGTTTTTTTTTTTCAGATTCCACATACAAGTGAAATCATATGGGATTTCTTTCTCTGACTTATTTTACTAAGTCTAATACCCTCAAGATCTATCTACATTGTTGCAAATGGCAAGATTCCATTCTTTTTTATGGCTGAGTAGTATACATATACCACATCTTCTTTACCCATTCATTCATCAAGGTACACATAGGTTGCCCCCACACCTTGGCCCCATACCTTGGCTAAATAATGATGCAATGAGCATAGGGGTGAGTATATTTTTTTGTCAGTGTTTTCATTTTCTTTGGATAAATATCCACTTGTGGAATTGCTGGATCATATGGTAGTTCTATTTTTAAGTTTTTGAGGAACCTCCATGCTGTTTTCCACAGTGGCTGCACCAACTTATATTCCCACCAACAATGCGTGAGGGTTCCCTTTTCTCCACATCCTTGCCAATACTTGTTGTTTCTTGTCTTTTTGATACCAGCCATTCTAACAGGTATAAAGTGGTATCTCATTGTGGTTTGCAATGTGATTTGCATTTCCCCAATGATTAGTGATGTTGAACATCTTTTCAAGTGCCTGTTGAACATCTGTATGTCTTCTTTGGCAAAATGCTTATTCAGATCCTCTGTCCATTTTTTTCCATTAGATTTTTTTTGCTATTGAGTTGTAGTTCTTTTATATTTTGGATATCAGCCCTTATGGATCTATGATTTGCAAATTATTTTCTCCCACTCAGCTGGTTGCCTTTTTATTTTGTTGATGGTTTCCTTTGCTGTGCAGAAGCTTTTTAATTTGATACAGTCCCATTCTTTAAAAAGATTTTTTAAAGCTGGGGTGCCTGGGTGGCTCAGTCGGTTAAGCGTCTGACTTCGGTTCAGGTCATGATCTCACGGTCCGTGAGTTCGAGCCCCACGTCGGGCTCTGTGCTGACAGCTCAGAGCCTGGAGCCTGCTTCAGATTCTGTGTCTCCCTCTCTCTCTGACCCTCCCCCATTCATGCTCCATCTCTCTCTGTCTCAAAAATAAATAAACATTAAAAAAATTAAAAAAAAAGATTTTTTAAAGTAATCTCTACACCCAATGTGGGGCTCAAACTCACAATCCCGAGATCAAGAGTCATATGCTCCATTGACTGAGACAGCCAGGTGCCCCAAGTCACTTGTTTATTTTTGCTTTTGTTGCCTTTGATTTTGGAATCAGGTCCAAAAAAATATGGCCAAAACCAACATCAAAGACCTTAGTGCCTATGTTTTCATTGAAGAGTTCTATGGTTTCAGGTCTTGCATTCAAGTCTTTAATATATGTTGAGTTAATTTCTGTGTATGGTGTGAAACAGTGCTCTAGTTTCATTCTTTTGCATGGGCTGTTCAGTTTTCTCAACACTGTTTATTGAACAGACTGTACTTTCCCCATTGTGTGTTCTTGCTTCCTTTGTCATAAATTAATTGACCATGTACAGTTGGATTTAATTCTGGGCTCTCTATTCTGTTCCACTGATCTATGTTTCCATTTTTATGCCAATATCATACTGTTTTGATTACCACAGCTCTTTGATATAGTTTGAAATCAGGGTACATCACGCTTTGAGCTTTCTTTCTTAAGACTGTTTTGGCTATTCAAGGTCTTTCGTGGTTCTATACACATTTTAGGATGGTTCTATTTTTGTGAAAAATGCCACTGGAATTTGATAGGAATTGCACTGAATCTGTTGAATGCTTTGGGAGACATTTTAACAAAATTAATTCTTCCAATTCATGAGCACAAAAACATCTTTCCTTTTTTTGTATGTGTCTTCCTTAATTTCTTTCATCAATGTCTTAAAGTTTTTAGCATACAGGTCTTTCACCTCGTTGGTTAAATTTATTACTATTTTTATTACTATTTAATTCTATTTGATTCAAGGGTAAATGAAACTGTTCTCTTAATTTCTCTGATAGTTTGCTCTTAGTATATATAAGCGCAACAGATTTTTGCATGTGGACTTTGTACCCTATAACTTCATTGAATTCGTTTACCTGTTCTAACATTCTTTTGGTAGTCTTTAGGGTTTTTTATATGTAAAGCTTTTTCACATTTTTAACTACTTTAAGTTGTTTTAACATTCATGAAAGTCTAAAGTCACAGAAGTAGTCTTTTTTTAAAAAGGTTCTTATCTGCCAGACTTCAAGCTGTATTACAAAGCTGTAATCATTAAGACAGTATGGTACAGGCACAAAAACAGACACTCAGATCAGTGGAACAGAATAGAGAACCCAGAAATGGACCCACAAATGTATGGCCAACTAATCTCTGACAAAGCAGGAAAGAATATCCAATGGAATAAAGACAGTCTCTTCTGCAAGTGGTGCTGGGAAAACTGGACAGCAACATGCAGAAAAATGAAGCTGGACCACTTTCTTACACCATCCACAAAAATAAACTCAAAATGGATGAAAGACCTAAATGTAAGACAGGAAGCTACCAAAGTCCTTGAGGAGAAAGCAGGCAAAAACCTCTTTGACCTTGGCCACAGCAACTTCTTACTCAACACATCTCCAGAGGCAAGGGACACAAAAGCAAAAATGAATTTTGGTACCTCATCAAAACAAAAAGCTGCTGCACAGCAAAGGAAACAATCAGCAAAACTAAAAGGCAATCAACGGAATGGGAGAAGATATTTGCAAACAACATATCAGATAAAGGGTTAGTATCCAAAATCTATGGAGAACTGATCAAACTCAACACCCAAAAACCAATCCAGTGAAGAAATGGGCAAAAGACATGAATAAACACTTCTCCAAAGAAGACATCCAGATGGCCAACTGACCCATGAAAAAATGCTCAATGTCACTCATCATCAGGGAAATACAGATCAAAACCACAATGAGATACCACCTCACACCGGTCAGAATGGCTAACATTAACAACTCAGGCAACAACAGATGTTGGTGAGGATACAGAGAAAGAGGATCTCTTTTGCACTGCTGATGGGAATGCAAACTGGTGCAGCCACTCTGGAAAACAGTATGGAGGTTCCTCAAAAAATTAAAAATAGAACTACCCTACGACCTAGCAATTGCACTAGTAGGTATTTGTCCAAGGGATACAGGTGTGCTGTTTCAAAGGGGCACATGCAGCCCAATGTTTATAGCAGCACTATCAACAATAGCCAAAGTATAGAAAGAACCTAAATGTCCATCGATGGATGAATGGATAAAGATAATGTGGTATATATATACAATGGAGTTTTACTCGGCAATCAAAAAGAATGAAATCTTGCCATTTGCAACCATGTGGATGGAACTAGAGGGTGTTATGCTAAGCGAAATTAGTCAGAGAAAGACAAATACCATATGGCTTCACTCAAATGAGGACTTTAAGATACAAAACAGATGAATATAAGGGAAGGAAAGCAAAAATATAAAAACAGGGAGGGGGACAAAACATACGAGACTCTTAAATATGGAGAACAAACAGAGGGTTACTGGAAAGGCTGTGGAAGGGAGGATGGGATAAATGGGTAAGGGGCACTAAGGAATCTACTCCTTAAATCATCATTGCACTATATGTTAACTTGGATGTAAAT